CACGGGGCAGACCCAGGTGCCACGGGTCGACTGACTGAGATGACTGGCTGATGCACCACCTGTGCCCCCTACTGTGCCAACCTGCTGTGCTTTAGCCACCCGGCGCTCCGCTCGTTGTTGTGAGCATCGCTCCTCCGCCCTCCGTTGTTGTTGGAGGGCGACTGCCTCCAACTGCCCAGTAGCATCCTTCACGAGCCTCCTCCACAGAGGCCGATCTTGACACCGCTGGTACCAGTCATCGGCAAGTCCACTCAGCTCCACGTCCTCCTGTACCACGTCACTCCATCTCTTCTCTAGCCCGTGCCGCGCCCGTTTAGCCCCCTCGATCCGGCCGAACAAAAGCTGTTTCGGCAATGCGGTGGCTGGGCATGCGGGCTACATGAGTTAAATAGAGATTTGTGATCGCGGGCCACTGAGGCAGACTCCATCTCCTCAGCAACCCGCGACCACCACCCATCCTTGCAGCGCCTCACGGTACAACACAGACACACGTACACACACACAGGTACACACACACACACACAGTCACACACACACAGGTACACACACACACACACAGGTACACACACACACACACAGGTACACACACACAGGTACACACACACAGGTACACACACACACGTAAACACACACACACACACAGGTACACACACACACGTAAACACACACACACACAGGTACACACACACACACAGGTACACACACGTACGGTGAGACACGGGTAGACACGGAGGGAGACACGGGGAGACACGGGGGGAGACACGGGGAGACACGGGGGGTGAGAACACGGGGGGTGAGACACGGGGGGTGAGACACGGGGGGGTGAGACACGGGGGGGTGAGACACGGGGGGTGAGACACGGGGGGTGAGACACGGGGGGTGAGACACGGGGGGTGAGACACGGGGGGTGAGACACGGGGGGTGAGACACGGGGGGTGAGACACGGGGGGTGAGACACGGGGGGTGAGACCACGGGGGGTGAGACACGGGGGGTGAGACACGGGGGGTGAGACACGGGGGGTGAGACACGGGGGGTGAGGACACGGGGGGTGAGACACGGGGGTGAGACACGGGGGGTGAGACACGGGGGGTGAGACACGGGGGGTGAGACACGGGGGGTGAGACACGGGGGGTGAGACACGGGGGGTGAGACACTGGGTGTGAGACACGGGGGGAGACACACGGGGAGACACACGGGGGGGTGAGACACGGGGGTGAGGCTACTCACATCATGTCCACAAACGCGTGCCCCAACCTCTCATAGTCGCTGCTGTGTCCCCTGCGAGAGACAAAGGAGGACACACACAGACAAAGCTCCCCCAGGTAGCCTCTAGCAGGGCTGTAGGGGCAAGTGCTGTTAGTGGTAGCGAGTAGCACACCACTGACAATAACTCACCATTCACTCACTCACCACTCACCTCACCACTCACCTCACCCCTCACCACTCACTCACCACTCACTCACACCTCACTCACCACTCACTCACTCACACCCACTCACTCACCACTCACTCACCACTCACTCACACCACTCACCACTCACCTCACACCACTCACCCCGCTCCTCACCACTCAACTCACCACTCACTTCACACCACTCACTCACCCACTCACTCACTCACAACCCCTCACCACTCACCCCTCACTCACTCACCTCACCCGCTCCTCACCACTCACCTCACCACTCACCTCACCTTACACTCACTCACCACTCACTCACCACTCACTCACCTCACACCACTCACTCACCTCACCTTACACTCACTCACCACTCGCTCACACACTCACTCACTCACCACTCACCTCACCACTCACCTCACCTTACACTCACTCACCACTCACTCACACCACTCACCTCACCCCGCTCCTCGCCACTCAGCCCCTCACCACTCACTCACACCTCACTCACCACTCACCTCACCACTCACTCACCACTTACTCACACCACTCACCTCACCACTCACGTCACTCACACCACTCACCACTCACCTCGTCATCGTCGCTGTCGCCCTCCTCACCCCGCTCCTCACCCCGCTCCTCACCACTCACTCACCACTCACTCACTCACACCACTCACCTCACCACCACTCACTCACCACTCACCTCACCACTCACTCACCACTCACCACTCACTCACCTCACCACTCACCTCACACCACTCACTCACCCTCACCACTCACCACTCACACCACTCACCTCACCACTCACTCACCACTCACTCACCTCACCACTCACCTCACACCACTCACTCACCCCTCACCACTCACACCACTCACTCACCCCTCACCCCTCACCACTCACACCACTCACCTCACCACTCACTCACCACGCTCCTCACCACTCACCTCGTCATCGTCGCTGTCGCCCTCCTCACCCCGCTCCTCACCACGCTCCTCACCCCGCTCCTCACCATCCTCGGTGAGGTCGATGTCAAAGACGGCGGCCATGAAGCAGCGTCCATGGGGGTAGGGGGTGGGAATCGATTCCTCGACGTCGATTCCGCACCGTAGTCGGGCGATTCGATTCCGTTACATTCAGGGCTTGGTGCGCTGAGGAATCGATTCCGCGTCGTTCAAATTCCATAGCGAGCGGGGTTTTCAACGCGTTGAGAGGGGAGGGGGGGCACGGATCGATTCGTCGACTCCATCAGTTCGATTCTACAACAACCGCGATTCCTCCCGTTCGGGTGAACGCACGTGGTGCGGGTCGATTACGATAATATCGATTCGCCTTCTAAGGCGATTCTTTCAATAGTGTGATAGCACGAGGTGCCTGGATCGATTCAAGTTGGTTCGATTCCACACGCGCCGCGATTTCTCCCGGAAGAGATCCCCGCATCGCGATTCCGACATGAGGTTTGACGCACGTGGCGCGTGGATCGATTTCTCCAGCACCACGATTCCTCCCGTAGGGTGAACACGCGAGACGCGTGTATCGATTCCTCCTGCACCACGATTCCCCCCGTAGAGTTAACTCGCGAGGCGCGTGGATCGATTCCGCACCAACGAATCCTATCCCCACCACACTTCCGTTTGCGACCACGAGGTGAATCGATTCCGAATGCAACCGTAATCGAGCTGATCGATTTCGTCGCGAATGGCCATACTTCACCAGGGGTGGCCCACAAGTCAGGACACATCTGGTTGTTGTTGTTGTTGCTGTGACACATCGTGGTTGTTGTTGTTGTTGTGACACAGTGGTTGTTGTTGTTGTGACACATAGTGGTTGTTGTTGTTGTGACACATAGTGGTTGTTGTTGTTGTGACACAGTGGTTGTTGTTGTGACACATAGTGGTTGTTGTTGTTGTTGTGACACATAGTGGTTGTTGTTGTTGTGACACAGTGGTTGTTGTTGTTGTGACACACAATGGTTGTTGTTGTTGTTGTTGTGACACATAGTGGTTGTTGTTGTTGTGACACACAATGGTTGTTGTTGTTGTTGTTGTGACACACAATGGTTGTTGTTGTTGTTGTGACACATCTGGGTTGTTGTTGTTGTTGTGACACACAATGGTTGTTGTTGTTGTTGTGACACATAGTGGTTGTTGTTGTTGTGACACATAGTGGTTGTTGTTGTGACACATAGTGGTTGTTGTTGTTGTTGTGACACATAGTGGTTGTTGTTGTTGTTGTGACACATAGTGGTTGTTGTTGTGACACAGTGGTTGTTGTTGTTGTGACACATAGTGGTTGTTGTTGTTGTGACACATAGTGGTTGTTGTTGTTGTGACACATAGTGGTTGTTGTTGTTGTGACACATAGTGGTTGTTGTTGTGACACATAGTTGTTGTTGTGACACATAGTGGTTGTTGTTGTTGTTGTGACACATAGTGGTTGTTGTTGTGACACATAGTTGTTGTTGTGACACATAGTGGTTGTTGTTGTGACACATAGTGGTTGTTGTTGTTGTGACACATAGTGGTTGTTGTTGTGATACATAGTGGTTGTTGTTGTGACACATAGTGGTTGTTGTTGTTGTTGTGATACATAGTGGTTGTTGTTGTTGTGATACATAGTGGTTGTTGTTGTGACACATAGTGGTTGTTGTTGTTGTTGTTGTGATACATAGTGGTTGTTGTTGTTGTGACACATAGTGGTTGTTGTTGTGACACATAGTGGTTGTTGTTGTTGTGATACATAGTGGTTGTTGTTGTTGTGACACATAGTGGTTTGGTGTTGTTGTTGTTGTGGATACTAGTGGTTTGTTGTTGTGATACATAGTGGTTGTTGTTGTTGTTGTGACACATAGTGGTTGTTGTTGTTGTGACACATAGTGATTGTTGTTGTGACACATAGTTGTTGTTGTTGTTGTGACACATAGTGGTTGTTGTTGTGACACATAGTGGTTGTTGTTGTGACACATAGTTGTTGTTGTGACACATAGTGGTTGTTGTTGTGACACATAGTGGTTGTTGTTGTGATACATAGTGGTTGTTGTTGTGACACATAGTGGCTGTTGTTGTTGTTGTGATACATAGTGGTTGTTGTGATACATAGTGGTTGTTGTTGTGACACATAGTGGTTGTTGTTGTTGTTGTGATACATAGTGGTTGTTGTTGTTGTGACACATAGTGGTTGTTGTTGTGACACATAGTGGTTGTTGTTGTTGTAATACATAGTGGTTGTTGTTGTTGTGACACATAGTGGTTGTTGTTGTTGTTGTGATACATAGTGGTTGTTGTTGTTGTGATACATAGTGGTTGTTGTTGTTGTGACACATAGTGGTTGTTGTTGTTTTGACACATAGTGATTGTTGTTGTGACACATAGTGGTTGTTTTTGTTGTTGTTGTGACACATAGTGGTTGTTGTTGTTGTGATACATAGTGGTTGTTGTTGTTGTGACACATAGTGGTTGTTGTTGTTGTGACACATAGTGGTTGTTGTTGTTGACACATAGTGGTTGTTGTTGTTGTGACACATAGTGGTTGTTGTTGTTTTGTTGTGACACATAGTGGTTGTTGTTGTTGTTGTGACACATAGTGGTTGTTGTTGTTGTGACACATAGTGGTTGTTGTTGTTGTTGTGACACATAGTGGTTGTTGTTGTTTGTGACACATAGTTGTTGTTGTTGTTGTGACACATAGTGGTTGTTGTTGTTGTGACACATAGTGGTTGTTGTTGTTGTGACACATAGTGGTTGTTTGTTGTTGTGACACATAGTGGTTGTTGTTGTTGTGAACATAGTGGTTGTTGTTGTTGTGACACATAGTGTTGTTGTTGTTTGTTGTGACACATAGTGGTAGTTGTTGTTGTGACACATAGTGGTTGTTTGTTGTGACACATAGTGGTTGTTGTTGTGACACACAGTGGTTTTGTTGTTGTGACACATAGTGGTTGTTGTTGTTGTGACACAGTGGTTGTTGTTGTTGTGACACATAGTGTTGTTGTTGTTGTGACACATAGTGGTTGTTGTTGTTGTGACACATAGTGGTTGTTGTTTGTGATTGTTGTTGACACATAGTGGTTGTTGTTGTTGTGACACATAGTGGTTGTTGTTGTTGTGACACATAGTGGTTGTTGTTGTTGTGACACATAGTGGTTGTTGTTGTTGTGACACATAGTGGTTGTTGTTTGTTGTTTGTGACACATAGTGGTTGTTGTTGTGACACATAGTGGTTGTTGTTGTTGTGACACATAGTGGTTGTTGTTGTGACACATAGTGGTTGTTGTTGTTGTGACAGACAGTGGTTGTTGTTGTTGTGACACACAATGGTTGTTGTTGTTGTGACACATAGTGGGTGGTTGTTGTGACACATAGTGGTTGTTGTTGTTGTGACACATAGTGGTTGTTGTTGTTGTTGTGACACACAATGGTTGTTGTTGTTGTGACACATAGTGGTGGTTGTTGTGACATAGTGGTTGTTGTTGTTGTGACACATAGTGGTTGTTGTTGTTGTGACACATAGTGGTTGTTGTTGTTGTGACACATAGTGCTTGTTGTTGTTGTGACACATAGTGGTTGTTGTTGTGACACATAGTGGTTGTTGTTGTGACACATAGTGGTTGTTGTGACACATAGTGGTTGTTGTTGTGACACATAGTGGTTGTTGTGACACATAGTGGTTGTTGTTGTTGTGACACACAATGGTTGTTGTTGTTGTGACACATAGTGGTTGTTGTTGTTGTGACACATAGTGGTTGTTGTTGTTGTGACACATAGTGGTTGTTGTTGTGACACATAGTGGTTGTTGTTGTTGTGACACATAGTGGTTGTTGTAACACATAGTGGTTGTTGTTGTGACACATAGTGGTTGTTGTTGTTGTTGTTGTTGTTGTTGTGACACATAGGGGTTGTTGTTGTTGTTGTGACACATAGGGGTTGTTGTTGTTGTGACACATAGTGGTTGTTGTTGTTGTGATACATAGTGATTGTTGTTGTTGTGACACATAGTGTTGTTGTTGTGACACATAGTGGTTGTTGTTGTTGTTGTGACACATAGTGGTTGTTGTTGTTGTGACATATAGTGGTTGTTGTTGTTGTGACACATAGTGGTTGTTGTTGTGACACATAGTGGTTGTTGTTGTGACACAGTGGTTGTTGTTGTGACACATAGTGGTTGTTGTTGTTGTGACACATAGTGGTTGTTGTTGTGACACATAGTGGTTGTTGTTGTTGTTGTGACACATAGTGGTTGTTGTTGTGACACATAGTGGTTGTTGTTGTTGTTGTGACACATAGTGGTTGTTGTTGTTGTTGTACACATAGTGGTTGTTGTGACACATAGTGGTTGTTGTTGTTGTTGTGACACATAGTGGTTGTTGTTGTTGTTGACATACATAGTGGGGTGGTTGTTGTTGTTGTTGTGACACATAGTGGTTGTTGTTGTTACACATAGTGGTTGTTGTTGTGACACATAGTGGTTGCTGTTGTTGTTGTTGTGACACATAGTGGTTGTTGTTGTTGTTACACATAGGGGTTGTTGTTGTTGTGACACATAGTGGTTGTTGTTGTGACACAGAGTGGTTGTTGTGACACATAGTGGTTGTTGTTGTTGTGACACATAGTGGTTGTTGTTGTTGTGACACATAGTGGTTGTTGTTGTGACACATAGTGGTTGTTGTTGTTGTTTGTGACACATAGTGGTTGTTGTTGTTGTGACACATAGTGGTTGTTGTTGTAACACATAGTGTTGTTGTTGTTGTGACACATAGTGGTTGTTGTTGTGACACATAGTGGTTGTTGTTGTTGTGACACATAGTGGTTGTTGTTGTGACATAGTGGTTGTTGTTGTTGTGACACATAGTGGTTGTTGTTGTGACACATAGTGGTTGTTGTTGTTGTGACACATAGTGGTTGTTGTTGTTGTTGTGACACATAATGGTTGTTGTTGTTGTGACACACAATGGTTGTTGTTGTAATACATAGTGGTTGTTGTTGTTGTGACACATAGTGGTTGTTGTTGTTGTGACACATAGTGGTTGTTGTTGTGATACATAGTGGTTGTTGTTGTTGTGACACATAGTGGTTGTTGTTGTGATACATAGTGGTTGTTGTTGTGA